AGACCTGAAGCCTAGTGACGACCTGAAGCCTTGAAGACCTGAAGCCTCTTCGTGTCTTCGCGTATCTTCGTGTCTTCGTGTCTTCGCGTGTCTTCGTGTCTTCGGGCAAAAGTCACAACCCGCTTCTGCCAACGCAATGTGAAAAGAATTGAACAAATAAAGCACAAACAGTCCTGATGTTCCGCTTCCAGCGCTGCATACTTCGTGCGCATCAACTCAGCCTCAACACTCGTTGAGGTCATGGCTACTCCAACACATCAACTCCATTCCATTCAATCTCCATCTCAACAATCGAAACAAAATACCGTGTCCGACCTGGAGCTCTACCTCTTCTCGGCCCGCTTCCAGCAGTAGCACCTTTGCTTGCAACTCCTGGAGCTCTAAAACGTCCACGTCGCCTGACCAAAGACGTCGCGACACAAAGTGACACCCTCTCTCTCTCGAACTCTGGCGGGCATGCTTCGTCGAGTCGTCTCACAGACGCCTTCCCCTAACGGTTTGTGACACACGTTGAGCGTTCTTTTTGGGGTTGGCCCATCCCATGGGCGCAGGCCGCCAGGCCTGTCACTGCGGAGCCTGCGGCATTGCCATTCAGCCTAGAAAAGTGCGGCAGATAGGAGTGGGCCTACACTGAACTGGAAAATGACCACAAAAGCACCTTCTTCCCGAGAGCCCATGTCAGGCTTTATCTGTCTGTAGGCCCTAGGTTCTACAAAAAGCCTCTGAGGCCAGAACTCTGCCAGAAGTGAATCCCGATGAGCCTGGCAAGGAGGACTGCAGGACACGGCTTGTGGTCAAGGCCAGTGCAGGAATGCGGACGGCTGAAGAAATCGTAGCGTCTCAGTACAAAAACTGAGGATATCAAACAGTGCCTCCCTGCTTCACACCATATTCAGCTCACAGGAGCCCAACAACGGGGAGATTCTCGCCCATTGGCTTTCAAAGAAGCTGAAGCTTCTGCTTCGGTCATTGACAGCACCCGTGGCCCCCACTTTGTGGAGCCAATGGGCAATGCACAAGGTCTGGCCAAGTACAAGAACCCTGTGCCAAGGCAGTCCTTTCATGGACACTGAATTCCCATGCATGGCTTTCTGGCGCCCGAGTCCCGTGTGTCCCACCGCTTCGCTTCATCGGCACGACGTCGGACACTCCAAGCTCGGTGAGGAGGAGCAAGCGCAGGTCTCGGGACAAAGCAACCTGAGGCGGTCGAGAGACCACAGGTTGGGGGCCGGGGTCGGAGGGAAAGCGAGAACCGAGAGAACCGGAAGCGCGGTAGGATCGTTGGTGCTGGCATTCGTTGAGCGATATGGGCGTCTGCATTCCAAATACATACCTCCAAGCATCTAGATTCACATGTACTTACTTTGGCTCTACACCGGGTGCACTCAGCACTGAGCTGAGGAGCTCAGCAGACTGAAAGCCCATCTTTCGAAGCTCGGAGCTCTGCGTGCAGAAGTTGAAGGGACTTCCATCGATGACCACCGGCACTGCGAAGTCCGAGCAGCGGCTCACGTTGCCGACAAAGCCCTTCCGCTGCGCCAAGCCTCTCGTGTACCTCTTGAAGATGGAATCCTGAAGGGGCGAAGGGGCTGCTGAAACGACACTGTCGCACGAGGCCTTTTCCCCCTCGACTCGTTAGGCCAACAAACAACTACCGGGTCACAAGTTTCAATCACAAGTGGCCAGAACCTCCGATGACTTGGGGACCACATGTGGGGTGCAAAAGCATGAGTATGTCAGGAGGCTGCTCCTCTCCATCTCGGTCGGCACAGGTGAGGTTTGCTACAGACCGTTGGAACACAGACTTGCAAACCTGACAGGGGCCATGGCATCGCAAGGCCCTTCTTGTGGGCGGCACGGTATGGACAGTTACCGAGTACTGAAGGGAGGTTCCTGAGGCCAGGCTTCGGCATTTTCCTTGAGTTAGGAATTCGTGCATCTTCCCTTCCCCTTTATCCGTTGCAAAAAGGGTTCTCGGGCAGCTATACCAATGTTTTCAGGACTCTGGTAGTTGAGGTGGATGAAACACTGAGCGACTCGAAGATCGTGGTCGCGACCTGGGGGCAGCCAAAGGAAGGAAGATTTGCAACGAAGCTTCCCTCCAAGCTGGCACAGCCACAGGTCACCGGGCACAGGGCTCGCAAATGCCAAAGGCTCTGCAAGGGTAAAGTGCCATTGAAGCAATAGTTTCCTTCAGGGTCGTATGGATGAGGCAGTTTATGCTGAAACCTATGGCGGAAGAGTGCTGCATCTTCAACGGTGAACGTTCCGACATGCACCCTGAATGACAAGATCATCCCTGAGCATGCAACTTGCTCTGGCAATCTCAGCAAGAATGCGGGAGATATTTGAACGACCATCAATGCAGCAGAGCGTCTGAAAGACCAGCAGCTTCTTTCAAGGCCGGCCAGGTCGGCATCAGGAAATAGTCTGTTCAGGTTCTCTGCAGTGGCTGACCTCATGTGCATCAAGCCAAATCCCTCATAGACCTCGCTGTCCATGTCCCTGCACAATGGCCAAAACTCGTTGCGCTCCTCGAAGGTCATCGACTTCAGCTGCATCGCCAAGCCCCGAAGTGCGGCATTCTGCACCCGAGCAGCCAAGGGCTCAGGATGAACTTCCTCAAGGCCAGTCGCTTGCAGCACAGCACGGTACGCATAGCTGCTGTGGTCATCGGCAGGGGGAGCTGGACCATCCAACAGGAAGACCAAGCCTGCGGCATCCTGAAACGTAGTGAAGTTGGTGACTCCCGCGCACAGGGCGTCCGCTGTCATCTGCATATTGTCGACCACCGGCTGCAAATACACCACATGCGCAGCCGCCAAGCTGGCCAAAGAGAGCATGAAGATCAAGCCCTGCTGGGCGTGCAGGAAGGGCGTCCGCAGGGTGACCTCGGAGTTTGCGGCGAAAGGTGCGTGACAAACAGTAACAGGACAAGAAGTTCTTCCTTCCAACCACTTCGAACAACCTTCACATTCTCCTCGTCCAGTGCCCAACCGTTCTGACACGCATGGTCGTTTCCCCAGGCCGTATCCACCCACCACCGTTCCAAGGCGCCGGAAGAGGCTTGAGCGACTTGACCGTCTCATGCACGCGCCGCGGCACGAGCACCGCAAAGAAAAGATCGTCGATGCATAGGACGACTTCCAAAGCCACGGCGTTCCTTGGAAAGAAGGTGAAGAAGAGCGCCGAGCACAACGGGAAAAGAAGTGTTCTTATTAAAAAATGGAAGGAATTCTAGGAATTGAAAGAAGCAATGCCAGGCTTCAGGATGAGGTCCGATACAGAAGTGGTGCTCGCCAGAAAGTGCACCCCAATGATTCCAAGAACCTGAATACAAGGCATGAAAGGTGAATCTCATTCCAAACACTCTATCCAGCAGCCACAAATGACTTCAACTAGGCACAACCAACATCGATGGTAAGGATCTCACAAGGGCAATGCACAAGCGTGGTAAAATGTTCAACACGAAGAGCAGGAGCATCCGCAAGCGGCTCACGCCGGACAGCAGAGTCTGGCCGGAGCGATGTGTCGTGTCCCCACTCGGCAAGGAAGTCAAAGCGATGCCAAAGCTGAAGGCGCAAAGCATGTCCTCCCAACGGCGCTGCGGCGTCGACTCGATAGAACGGTGGAACTTCGGATGAAAGTTACAAACGCACGCACCACACAAACAATCTGTATATCGGCCAGCGTGCGCGTGTGGAAATACACATGTGCTTTGATTACTGTACATACACGTGAGGTGTGACACACATGTCGTTCACAGCTATCACTGAAAGGATTTGAAAGGATGGATCTTGTCCATGGCCCATGGCAACTAGGGCAACACGAAAGGTTTTGGATACATCCTTACGGCCTGACAAATGCTAAGCTAAGTCTTGGTTTGATTTGATGCTTCCGTGCACCAGGATGTCCTTGATCACTGTGAAAATCCAGACCAGCAGGGCAATCAATGCAAGCCAGGCACCCACAGGGAGCAGCGGCCACCTCCGCTGTGTGTCCCTCTCTCAAACGAGAAATGGAAAATGCCCCAAAACCACACTACCGCTGCACCTAGAATAGTTAAACAATCCTAAACATATATATATATATATTGTGTGTGTGTCTCCTTCCAATGCACCTGAGGTCCTCATTGCCCGCTTCTCGGATGCCATACTTGAACATGGTCTCGTAGATCTCTGCCTGGACAACCCCATTCAACAAGGAGTTGGACATCGAACAAACGCCCATGATCAGCGGCTGCCCGGTCGCGGCATCGACATAGTTGAGGTTCTGACCTCAGCACAAGCACAACACACGAAGATATCAATCAGCAACAAGGACCACCTCAAGACTCTTAGCAGCTTACCGGGGGTTGGTCGCTTCCCAACCCCCCAAGATTATATGTAAATATCTATATATCTATCTCTCTCTCTCTCTCTTCGGGATTTGAGCCAAGAGTTTTGATGAGAGTGTGAAGAAGTCGTTTTGCCTTTGGACAGTTTGAGAGGCGAGAGGTCTTTCCAACTCTTGTTGCATCTTGGCTTCTTACAGGCTACGTTACTAAGGCGCAAACCAAACTGCACCCGCCACTCCTTCATCTCCTGCGCCAGGGAATCCTCAAAGACGGTGTCCGTCATGTTGTCGCACAGGATGAGTACGAAAAAGCCCTCCACCAACACCGACCAAAGTCCACACAGCACCACTGAAAGGCTCTCCTGCCATGACAGAACCCCAAGGCCCACCAGCACACTGGAATCCCACACGCAGGCTTCAAACCTGTACTCAGCTGCGCATCCCTTCTCGTCCACAGTCTTCTCTGGTGCCGTGGAGAGTTCAAGCTGCTCATGCCGACTGAAAGGCAAGCGAGGCACCTTGCTTGGCAGCATGGAGCTACGGCAGGTCTGGAAGATTTTGCCACACCAACGGACTATATAACCACTTCTAGTGCACTATTGAAAGTAAATTGCTGTAAAATCAATGGCTTGGCCAACAAACAATGAGCAATTATATACAGCAGCTGAACCTGCCGTTGGAAGTCTCATTCTTGTCTAATGAATCTGTCTATCCAATGATCTGCATATCCCATGTGGTACCGACTTCCCACACATTGCAGCTGCATAGCTGGAGGAGGCGGCTGCACCGACAGAAAGGCTTCCGAAGCCCGCAGCACGGAACTCCTCAGCTCGCCTGAGGTCTTGCCGTCTGACGCTACGAACAAAACTTGTTTCTACTAGCTTCTTGTTACTATTAGTAAGGCACTTGTTGCTAGTAGCGATGCACTTGTTCCTAGTAGCTTATTGTTTCTATTTGAGTGTTCGCATGTGGTCCCCTCCAATCACTGGTGTCACATGCCAGGCGGGACTAGAGAGAGCACACGGCTACAGCCATACCATTGGTACATGGTGGAGTTCAGCTTGGTCAGTTAGGCCATTACAGTCCTTCCACAGCATTTCGATGCGTAAGAGTCAAAGAGATTCCAACACCCCCACCTTCCACTCGGGCATCCTTGGTCCTTGCATCTTGCTCCAACAAAGCCAGCCGCTGTTCTAGATCCCTGGCCAGCAAACATGGCTTTGCTGCAGGGGCGGTCCATGTGACTAAGTTCGGCTGCTTGGTGCTTAGCCATGAGCCCAGCACAAGCCTGTCCTCTCTTACATACTTGATGGGACCCGAATCACTTCCAATCCTAGAGGCATGAAAAGCATCATGAACCTCACGAAAACACCCAACTCACCCTTCATCCCTGCCTCAGCCGCTCCGAGACGCACTCCTCCACCCGCCGTTGCAGCTCCTCCTCGGGCCACGGCACCACCGGGGCCTCCGCACCCTCCGCCGCGGCCGGCAAGTCCGCGTCGCGCCAGGGCGTGGCGGAGCAGAGCATGGCGGAGCGGGATCTAACGGTGGTCCAGCGCTTCTGACCACGCTCGCAACTGATTGGCTTTGGGCTTCGAACTTCAAGCCACCCCTTCAGGTGTAGCTGGGATGCACTGGACCTGATTCGGTAGGATACACAGAAATACCGTCTAATTGTGTGATTCTTGTGTTGCAATTTGCGTGGCATTGCGTGGAGCATGTTCGTGCATTCTTGACGGCAACTTCTTGAATGTCTGCCCAATGTTGCATTTCGTGTCGCCCATCATCTTGATACAGGCGCAAAACGCGACAGAGACAAGTCCCAGCTCGATCACTTAGAAGCTTGGTGGTTTCTCAAACCATACAGTGAGGAACAAGGGCATATAGTCATATAGTCATATGGTAAAAGCTTCTCCATCCCCTACCGAATCTGTTGGCCCGAGAAGCCGGAAAAATAGAAATGAGAGAGAGGGAGAGAGGAGATTCCCCGGACACCACCAGACTTCGATATCAAAGACCGGTGTCCCTCAACTCTAAGACGGCTTGGACAGGTCATATCGATTCATATCACCCGTCCTGAAGACCATGTTTCGTCCGAAGCAGGGCCCCTTCAGTCAAAACCACTGTCTGGACCGCTCCACCTCCGCAGCCAGAAGTGGAACACCACCCAGAAAGGGAGGGAGAGAGAGAGAGAGAGACAGAGAGGGACAGAGAGTGGTTTGAGCCTGTCTTTTAATGAAATCATCAATCAGACCTACCATCTAACACATGACATGAAGCCATCAAGTGTACCAACAACAAAGAACTGATTCACTCACCTGCCTGCAAACACTACACACCACGGGGTCTGCGGCAGTGTTCTCGGCCCTGTGAGTGGTGAATGTGGTGTGGCGGTCGCACCTGCCTCGAGGGCCGCGAGGCGCGCCTTTAACTCGAGCTCTCCACCGGAGCTCAGCTCACCTGCAGTGACGGTCGACGTCTGATTCGGACCAAAAGGTATGACTAAGACACAGAGCAAGGCCTTACAGTGCCTTTGTCTGTGTGTGTGTGTGTGTCCCAAGCCTGGTGAAAAATTGGTCCCTACACTCTACACCTCACCCAGTTGGCCTTGTGAGAGCCCAGTTGGCCCTAGCTACACAAAGACATTGAAAGGGCATTCCAAGTGGCTAATCCATTCATTCGTTGCTGCCAGCTGCCGATGGGCCCAGCGGTGCCCTTCGGAGGTGTCGAGCAGTGAGATCCACCCAGCAGGCTGCTGGATCCGAGCGCGGACCCGTCGATCCTGCTCCTTCTGCACCACCTCCAACACATGCACTTCCTGCCCGGGCTGTAGCCGACCCACCTTGGTAGATCCTCGCCCCACAGCCTCGGTGACATCCACCTCACCGGCCAAGATGTAGACCCCGGGGCCATCACATTGCAGCTGCGCCTGGTGCAATTGCAGCTCCAAGCTCCGGAGTCTTTCCCTTAGCTCATGCAACTCCCGCTCCCGGCGTCCCAGATCCTCGGCTGCCTCCGCCCGCGCAGCTTCCAGCTGTTGCCGGCTCTGGGAGAGCTCCAAATCACAGCTCTGCTGTGCAGCTCCGGCAGCCTCGGCGGCTTCCAGCTTCGAGGCTTCCAAGACTTCCAGTTCTCGTTGGAGGCGCTGCAGCTGCTCCAAGCGCATGCAGGCCCAAGAATTGCTCCGTTGAAGATCACGGCCAGCCCAGCGGTTGGAATCCTGCCAAGTGCTTTCTGGGGGGTCCACCTTTGCAGGTGTGAAAGGGATGAAACTTCCATGAGACACTCAGCTTGTCTGTCAGGAAGTACCCCCACATCCTCCGTGCTCACAATGGAGATCCACCCGGCCGGCTCCTCAATCCTGCAAACACCCAACACATCACCCGACACACCCGATCTCAGCCATGAGACGCTCAGCACCCGACCTACCACGCACTCTCCGATCTTCTGGCCTGGCCAGGCCCAAATGAACAAGAAAGAGAACGACCAATCGCCCCTGCCTGTGGAGCACCTCTAGGACCTGCACAGTGGTGCCGACCTTGACATAGAGTTGCGTTGTAGAAGCCCCCAATACCCAAGGTCCAGGAAACCCCGAGCCAAACCGCCCATCTTTTTTCGACCAAATTCCCAAAACAGAGGCCCTCACGCTGATCATTTGCAACTTCGGTGAGCCTTTCTCAGGGCCAACCGTCAAGCTCACGAGTTGGGACACCACCTCAGTGTCTAGCTGACCAACTGTCCGGCCCAAATGCGCCCACGGAATCGTCAGCAATACACGAGCTGAGAGGCGTAAATGCCCGGGCTGTCCTTAACACGCTTGCACTATGTCACTATGAGATGGGTCGGAGTACAGGGACGAAGAACATTCAACTCATGAAGTCACCAATGCAGCTGGGAAACGACTGCAAGCAACCTAAGTGATTTGGCACAAGAGGAACGCTGCACAAGAGGAACGCTGCATCACGACCACACGCCTCCAAGCCTGCAAAAAAGATAAAGAACGTCAGAAAAGAAACTCTGCAAGCTCTGGCTTGGCTTTGCTCGGAGAGCTTGTGCAACTCGAAGCTTTCCTGTGTGTTGTGTCAAGTCCACATGAAAACCTTCCAGTTCTCTGAGTTGTTCAAATCATTGAGCCGTGCTGGAAGCTTACCCACAAAGTTCACAACCCTCAAGCTCAAAGGATCACGCGCGTGAACTCTTGCATTGATTATCATTGATTCTTGGGCCTTGCACCTGCAAAATAAATCAAAAGGGGATGCGTCTTGCCATGCCAAGATGCGGCACGTCCGACAGACAGCCAACCTGTGCTTCACCGACTCTGTGCTCACCAAGCTTCTGCAACACGAGTGTTGAAAACCACTGCAAATGTACCTGGTAGCGTCCTTGCTCCTAGTAGCGATGCCAGGAGCCCCCAGTAGCGTCCTTGCTCCTAGCAGTAAGGCCTGGAGCCCCTAGTAGCGTCCTTGCTAGTGCAAATGCAACTAAAAGGGTTCTTCAAGCCATCTCCAGTCATGCGCCTTTGGGCTGCCATTCATCTGGATGGCCTCGCTAACGCAAAGAAGAACTCAGCAGGAGGAGGGCACCGATCCGATTTTGGTGAAGTGTCCGTTTGGCCGAGACTCTCAGCTAGCCTTTTCCGTCACTTGATTCTTGTGCCAGCCAAAACAACCAAGTGTGGCCCTCTAGCCCACAGCCGCAGAAAGATCAACTCTATTCGCCTGGTGTTTGAGCTCATCCTGCAACAAGCGGAGTTTGGACACATGCTGCTTCCAGCCACATGAATGGATGACGTCTCAGGAATGAAACAGCACAGCAACGGTGTCCAAAAGACACTCACCATTTCCGCTTTTGTTCTTCTGGTTTCGTTGAACTCTGCAATTGGCCCAACTTGGCTCCTTGGCATCCTCCATGGCCCTGTCGACCAACTGCTCCGCCACACGCTCCTCAGTCAAATGTGGTCACGTCCCCAAGGCCCGAGCGGCCCGACACGCACTGAGCTTCGAACCTGGCGCCTCGGCCATTCAAGCGGTTCTTCGAGAAAGGCCACAGGTGTCGGGTGCCATCACCAGCATCAATGAACATCTGAACATCTGTTTTGCCAAGAAACAGTTGCAGCATCTCCAACATCAACTGCTCGATTCGAGCCTCTCAAAGTGTGGTCAAACCGAAGGGCCGAAACGTTCAAAGTTCAAAGCCTCCAAAAACTAAACTCATGACATGCTTTCTAGATTTTCTAGCATGCATTTGCTCAATAACCTGAACACACATGGGGCAGTCTTAATCGACCCCTTTGGTCACCTTGTGATTGGTCAGTGCCGGCCTGCAGCTCTGCCTGAGCGATCGAATGACCATGCCTTTCTTTGGACAAGTCCTCTTGCAGCCGTGAGTTTTCCACCTCCAAGTCAATCATCTTTTGCTGCTGCTCCATGGATACTGCTGGACCGGCCAAAGCTTCCACCTGATAAGGTCACGAGTCATGAGCAACAACCTGCAAGTTTCGATCATGGAAGCTACACACAAAGGAAGAGAGGTCCACAAGGTGACTGTTGGCTGTTGCACCTGTCTCCAGTAAGCTACTAAACGCAAACAGAGCGTTGATGTGTTTATATAAATGGTTCCTGACAGAATTGCACTTCTTGATTGGTAAGTCAGTTGCACTTATGGTCTCGTACATTGCATGTGTCAGCCACAGTTTGGTCGTAAAGCGCCCCTGTGCTTCAAAACATGAACACTCAATCACATGCATCGCACATGCGAATGAGACTTAGAGCATTAAACTTGAACACTTCCGCACCTTCTGAGAATCAAAGGTCTGGAACCTTTCATCGTAGTCTCTTTGCAGAAGGCTCAGCTGTTCCTCCAATTCTTTGATTCGATCTTGGCCCACTTGCAGTTCTGCCTGAGCCCTCGAATGACCATGCCTTTCTTTGGACAAGTCCTC